CTTCCTTCCTTCCTTCCTTCCTTCCTTCCTTCCTTCCTTCCTTCCTTTCTTTCTTCTTTATCTCTCTCTTTCTTTCCTTTCCTTCCTTATTATTTATTTATTTAATTTATTTTTTAAAATAAAATATGAAATGCTTCACGAATTTGCATGTCATCCTCGTGCAGGGGCCATGCTAATCTCTGTGTCGTTCCAATTTTAGTATATGTGCTGCTGAAATGAGCACTTATTTATTTGTGTTTGAGACGGAGCCTCGTTCTGTCTCCCAGCCTGGAGTGCAGTGGTGTGATCTTGGCTCACTGCAACCTCTGCCTCCCGAGTTCAAGCGATTCTCCTGCCTCAACCGCCCAGGCAGCTGGGATTAGAGGTGCTTGCCAGCATGCCCGGCTAATTTTTGTATTTGTAGTAGAGATAGGGCTATCTTCACTATCTTGGCCAGGCGGGTCTCGAACCTCTGATCTTGTGATCCACCTGCTTCAGTGTCCCAAAGTGCTGGGATTACAGGTGTGAGTCACCTCGCCAGCCTATTTATTTATTTTTTTATTATTATTTTTGAGATGGAAGCTTGCTCTGTTACCCAGGCTGGAGTGCAATGGCGAGATATCAGCTCACTGCAATCTCTGCCTCCCAAATTCAAGTGGTTCTTTCCCCTCTGCCTCCCAAGTAGCTGGGATTACAGGCAAACACCACCACACCCAGCTAATTTTTGTACTTTTGTTTAGTAGAGACAGGGCTTCACCATTGCTGGGCAGGCTGGTCTCAAACTCCTGACCTCAAGTGATCTGCCCACCTCGGCCTCCCAAAGTGCTGGGATTACAGGCATGAGCCACTGTGCCCGGCCCTGAGTGACCCTTGAAATATAAGGGCCATGGAATCACCAGGAACTGTCCTTCCTGTGACCTTGGGTAAAGGTACTTCCGAGGTTATAAATTACAGTCTTGTTACCAACAGTTGTCTTTGCTGTCTTCTCCTCCACTCTGAAGACGCTACCTGGTGAGTGGCTTCTCTGTGCACAGGTTTGCGTGGTTGCAGGTGTGACCAGGGCGGAGCAGTGAAGTGGGGCCGGCAGTGATGGACCACATCCCGAGCCTGTTTCGCAGCACAAGACGGCCTTGGTTCTGTTGTCCACAAACCACACTTGACCAGATCTGGCCCCCTGTCTTGTATGATAGGTAAAGTTTTATTGGCACGTGGCCACACCCGTTCACTTATTGCTGTCTGTCTGCTTTGCTGCTGTTAAGGGCAGGGCTGTGACACACCTGATGGCTGGCAAAGCCAAACACGCTTCCCCCTGGCCCTGCCCAGAGTGCCTTTGCCTCCCGAGTCCTCGGAGGCTCCCGTGAGCCTGTTTCTGCTGGACAGGGCCAGTGGGAGAGCCAGCAGCCTGCTGAGGCAGCCTGAAGCCCCCAGGTCCCTGCATTCCTGAGAGTCACTTTATGGCAGTTGCAGATTAATCCCTCAGGGTGAGGGTGTGCTGGCCTCTCCTTGGCTGCCAGAGTCCAGAGTCCCCTGAAGTGGGTGTGGGAGATTTTAGCACTCTGCCTGCCAGGAGCACCGTTGTTTGAGCCAGCCCTGACCCCTGAGAAGCCCTTTACACCCCCGCTTTGCCTGGTTCCTCTCCCTCCAAGTCTCAGCCCAGGTTCCTCTCCCTCCAAGTCTCAGCCCAAGTCAGAGCCCAGGTGCCTCCTCTTTCAGAAAGGCTTCCTCAATTTCATCCTCCTCTCTTTCCTCCCAGGCCTCCCTTTGCTGCTACATGGAACATGCTTTGCCATCCTAGTCTGTCTCCCAGTTGGTTTCCCCAACTTGTCTGTGAGCTCCTCCTGTGAGCAGCCAAATCATGGGATGGGTGGGGTCCCAGAAGGCAGAGCTGGATTGGGGGTGCTGCCATCTCCAGTGGCAGGTGGGGCTCCAAACCGCAAAAAGCAGCATTACCTGGAGTGGGGGAGTGGGACTAACTGCAGAGGTGCAGTTCCCCGCGAGGGATGAGTCCCGGGAACCCCCGCTGGCGTAGGGCAGGTGCGGATCACCTTCCGAGCCTGAGGTGATTCACTCGTGACTGCTGCTGAGAACTGAGTAGGCTCTGAGGCTGCGTGATGAAGCCAGAAGCCGCCCATGCCTTTGTATAATTGCAGCTGTCATCATTTGCTGCAGGAGGAAAAATGCAAAGACAGAGCCACCAGCCACAGCACACCCAGCAGCCTCCCAGAGGGAGGAACCTAAGCCTTCAGGGCTGGAGGCTGCAGGAGGTGGAAGGCAGGGCCCCCTCTTCCCCACCCAGCATCCCCGGCCTCAGGGAGCCTGGTCAGCACTCAGGGTGTGTCTGAGTCTTTGGCAGGAGCTGTCCTGGACCTTCCCAGATGGATAATTAAAGGGGCTTCCCTAAAAAGTCACAGCTGAAGGGCGTGGCTGGGGGCTTCACACCCGCTGTGTCACACGTGGGCCAGGTTTGGGTTTTCCTGAATGAAGGATGTAGGAACAGGTCTGGTAGCTTCTTTGAGCGACCAGGGCCAGTCACAGGAAAAGTCTGAAGCCACGCTTGCTTTTCCCAGGCTGTGGTGGCCATGCCTGCCACTTCTACATTGGCTAGAAATTGTGTCCCCAGCACCTCATCCGCCCAGACTCCTGAGCCGCCAAACCTGGGACAGGAATCGCTTGCTGATAATGAGCTTGTTTCTCGCTCAGCGGGAGGAACCTGTCATCGGGGCGGCCCGTTTTGTTTTCCCTCCGACTCTGACTCTGACGTACCTGTTCAGCAGCTTCCCAGCCCGGAGCAGGCCAGAAACGGGGAACCGGCTGGTATCAAAGGCAGGTGGAGAGATGGAGAAACTCTAAGACTATCCCCTCACCTGGCAGTGGGTCACTTTGCCTTATAATTCAATCAAACACCAGCTGTCCCAGAGATCAGGGAAAGGCACAGAGGAGGGCCACTGCTTTCCAGAGCACCATCGCAAAGATTAACTCTGGGGCTTGGTGCTCGAAAGCCTGTGTGTTAGGTTCCCTGGAAAACCCCAGACTCTTGGGAAGGACTTGCTCCTGGGGGTTTCCAGGAATTGAGGGCACCACTGCCTTGGTCTCTGGCTGTTCAACCTTAGAAAGCACCAGAGGGCAGTTGAGGGAGGGGTGAGGAACACAGGTTTGGTGCTGGAAGGACTAAGATCTGGGCTGATTCTGCCACATAGGAGCTGCGTGGCCCTGGCCTGGTCATGCTACCTCTAGGCCCTCTGTGAATCAGACCAGTGGGCATCAGGAGGCACTCACCAGCAGGCATCAGGAGACACTCAAGCTGGTGGGGCCATTGGCAAGCCCCACGTGATGACAATCCTCTTGAAGGACTGAGCATCTTCTTGGCAAGTGACAATTTGAATTTATTACAACCACATCAGGGAGCAGAACTGTTGAGCTGCAGGGTGCTTAGAGATCTCCAAGCCTAACTCTACCATTTGCAAGATGGGGAGACTGAGGCCCAGAGGAGTGACAGATTGTGCTGGGAGAATTGAAGGCTGAGCTGGGGTTCAGATGGGCCGTTTGGCAGGCAGGGCTTGTGTGCTTCTGCCCCAGCATCTGCAGCCTCCAGGTGGGCGTGCTTGGAAAGCCCGCAGCCATGAAGGCTCAGGTCCCTTCCTCTGGGAGGCTACTGGGTGTGCTGTGTGGCGTCAGGATGCTCTGTGCTCTGTGCAGTCGGGGAGGCTCTCGGAAAATCCCCCCCGCCTGGGGCCAGAAGTGCAGCTGCAGAGACAAACAGGACACAGGGTCTCCAGCCACAGCGGGGGACAATGGCCAGGAGAGGAAATGTCTCCAGACCCGTGTGTGGAGGTGGAGCCCATCTGGGGGCGTTTTTTTCAACGCAGCTTCCAGAAAAACAAACACAGGCGAAGCCAAGCATCTCTGGCTAGGAGAGGAAGTGTGTTCTGCCCACTCTGGAGAATTGGCGGAGGTGTGAGCAGGCGGGAGAAGGGGGGACACCTGCTTTGAGTGTCAGGTCATAGACGGGAAACTGAGGCCTGCAGGAGGAGCTGCCACAGGCAGGCAGCAAGTTGACGCAGGTGGTCTCGGGCCCACTCCCCACTTCTCTGCACAGCCCCTTGCTCCAACATATAAGCAGAGGCACAGGCAGCCCCATCCCAGGGCGGGGCGACGCGGCCAGGGCACCGGTAGCAGGTGTTGACCTCCCAGGGGTGTCGGTTCTTCCCCACCTGCCCCTCGAGCACAGCTCCTCTGTGCTCCTTTCCGGGCCAAAGCCGTGGAGAGGACCCCATGTCACACACACAGAATCTCAGTGCGACTGATCTGTGCGCCTGCGCTTGGCGTTTTGGAAAAGTCCTCAAGTCTAATTTAATCCTTATGATGACTCGGGGCACGACCACAGAATCCCACATCCCCACCTGCCTGACACCCAGCGCTGCTGGGAGGAAGTGACCACTCCACGAGGTTGTGTTGACGGATGCGCGCACCCTCAGCCTGCCCAGTTCCTGTATGTGGAGCCCAGGCTGGAGATGAATTGGATCTCAGTGGAGAAGCCTCACTGGGCGGGGGAGGGGGTCACAGAGGCTGCAGGCGGCACTGGGGGGGCGTGGGGAGAGGAAGACCTGGGGGGTGATGTTGGGTGCTTCTATGGGCATCCACAGCTTCTGGGCACTGGGGCAGCAGATGCCTTGAGGGTGGCTGCTCATCCAGGAAGACAGCCCACACAGAGGAGAGGTGGGTGTCCAGAGTTGCACCCATTCTACAGGGAAGGTGCCAGGAGAATCTGGCTCCCCAGATGCTCTGGGCTTCGGTAGTGGGAGCTTTGTGAAGGGGGACACATTACCCAGTCAAGGGCTGAGCCGGGAGAGGAGGAGGGAGCTGGCAGGGCCGACAGGATGCAAGTTGAGCTCTGGTGTGGGGGGGAAGGTGGGAGATGGGGCCGGCAATTGTCTGCAGGGAAGTGTAAGAAAGGCGGACCTTGTACTGTCCACCCCCGAGGCCCAAGGAGGGGATTGGCAGGACACCAGGCTCGAGGGACTGCAGGCGGCTGAGGTTGAGGGGGCTGTGTTTGGGGACCGATGTTCCCAACCACACTGTCCCAGGCCTGCTTCACAGCTTAAGTACTGAGCTGACCCCAAATCCAGTGACACGTACGTCCACCCTAAACCTGGACCGGCCCTTGGAATGAGGGTGTTTGCAGCTGTGATTTCCTTCAGGGTCTCCAGGTGAGATCATCTTGGGTTATTTAGGTGAACCCCAAAT